CCTAAATTTCCAAAAAAAAAAAATTCTTAAAAAAAAAAAAAAAAAAAAAAATATATATATATATATATATATATAAATTATTCCAAACTTTTGACTTGTAGTGTACATCCTGGAAATATGACATTACATGGTTTACTGTGCCCTAATATTTTTGGATTTGATTTATGTAGGTCTTGTTGTTGGTCCAGTTAAGCAGATCTCAAAATGGTTCACAGACAACATCTTTTTATGATATTGTTGGTGTTCAGCTAAATTTGTCGACATGGACGACCATATAAACCTCTCACAGCCCCGAGGGCTTTGCGTACCATCATGTTTGATAAGAAGTTTCATTTCGAGAAAGTAGTTTCATTCATTTTCAGTTTCCTCATTGGAAGAACATTAAAACGATTGATATGCCACATTACCCCAACAATAAAACGCAATTCAAAACAATATATTGCAAAAGCGGCTTTCTTTCTTCCACACCATCAGCTATTTGAAATTAGCAAGCGCTGATTGCAATGGCAGCTGTCCACCATCAACTGCCCTCTGCATCCCAAATCAGTCGAGCATCTACCACTTTATTGTCAGTTCGCGTTTGGAAGCCAATATTTGAATTCTCATCAAACCAAATTGAATCGTTAACTGTCAAGGAATGCTAATGATGCCATTTTCCATTATGCTGCTTTAATAAAGGCCAGCCTGAGGCCTGCCACCACTATCTCCAGCTGACGCCTTCGCCCACACCAGCCCAATCAGTTTCTGTGAGGTGCGCAGGTTATTTTCTCTCAAATTAAACCGGGAACTGGCCAGGCCTTTCCAGTTGCATTGTTTAATGCATATTGAACGCTGACGCCGGGAGTCCTGTCATTATATTTGCAACAATGATGCAAATGAAATTGCATAGATAAGAAGCCATTTTTCTGACCAGGCTCCTCCATCGGTGAAGGGGCACTGAATAATTTCCGAGTTTGATGTGACGGGGGGAAGGATCATTGTCGTGATGGATCATTGCGATTAATCTTGCGTGGATGTGCGTCAAAGACACACCTCAACAGGTCTGTGATAGTGACTCCAGGAAGTATACAGTCATTTTTGCCACACTTACAGCGAGAATTCAGACCAACGTTTGGCATCTGTAAGATTTTTAAATGTTTTTGAGTCTCTTCTGCTCATCAAGGCTGCATTTATTTGATCAAAAATACAGTTAAAACAGTAATATTGTGAAATATTATTACAATTCAAAAAACTGTTTTCCATTTGAATGTTTTTTTAAAATGTAATTTATTCCTGTGATGCAAAGCTAAATTTTCAGTCTTCAGTGGCACATGATCCTGAAGAAATCATTCTAATATGCTGATTTGCATTATCAATGTTGAAAACAGATGGGCTGTTTCATATTTTTGTGGAAACCGTGATATATGTATTCTAGTTCAACAGAATAGAATTTATTTGACATATAAATCTTTGGTAACATTAATGTCTTTGCTAGCAAATGTCACTTTTGATCAATTAATACATCCTTGCTGAGTAAAAGCAGTAATTTCTCTAAAAAAAAGAAAAATCATCTTACATCCCAAACTTTAAGACAGTACCAGGTGTGAAAAACTTGTTGCATCTTTCCCAAAAAGACTCATGGCTGTATTAGATCAAAAGGGTGCTTCTACTAAATACTGAGCAAAGGGTCTGAATACTTAGGACCATGTGATATTTCAGTTTTTCTTTTTTAATAAATCTGCCAAAATGTCAACAATTCTGTGTTTTTCTGTCAATATGGGGTGCTGTGTGTACATTAATGAGGAAAAAAAATTAAATTAAATGATTTTAGCAAATGGCTGCAATATAATAAAGAGTGAAAAATTTAAGGGGGTCTGAATACTTTCCGTACCCACTGTATGTATGTGTATGTGTGTGTGTGTGTTTTGCTTGCAAAATGCGTTTGGTGCTTTTTTAAATGCCATTTGTCTTGATTTTTAATCTTTTTGGACTATTCTCCGATTACTTTTTGGGGTTATAGAACAGCCATATTCTGTTTTACAACTCCATACACATATTACATTTTAATTGCTATGTTCCAGTGTGCTTTCTACATAGGCAGCATTTTAAAGCATCATAAATGTTTAACAACATTTTAATATGCATGAGCAGATTTGAATATTAACGGGGTCATATGATGTTGCTAAAAAGAACATTATTTTGTGTATTTGGTGTAATGAAATGTGTTTATGTGGTTTAAGGTTCAAAAAACACATTATTTTCCACATAATGTACATTATTGTTTCTCCTCTATGCCCCGCATTTCTGAAACGTGTCGATTTTTACAAAGCTCATCGGTCTGAAAAGCGAGGTGTGCAGTGATTGGCCAGCTATCCAGTGCATTGTGATTGGCTGAATACCTCAAGCGTGTGACAGAAATGTTACGCCCCTTACCATATTGTGATGCCCTGTCCGGCCGGAGCGACGAGACAAAAACATTAAAACCCATTATAAACAAGGCATTCGTTGCATCCAGTGGGGTCATAATTACTGATTTCGCTTTTTTACAGGGGAAGTCATGGCCTAATGGTTAGAGAGTCGGACTCGTAACCCAAAGGTTGCGGGTTCGAGTCTCATGCCGGCAGGGATTGTGGGTGGGGGGAGTGAATTTCCAGCGCTCTCACCCACCTTCAATACCACGACTGAGGTGCCCTTGAGCAAGGCACCCCAACTGCAACGGCAAATACTTTAAATATAAAAAAAACGTACTTACAGTCTGTGAGTCAGAACAGCCGGCATTGTAGTCTACTCTCCCAGGATCAGGAAACAGTCCTCCATAAAATGTGCTGCACACATCTGAATATTTGGGTTGAACTGTTCTGGAACAGTGTTGTAAATACAGCTTAACCACTGATTTCTAGTCGTGTCCTCTTTTGGAAGGCCAAACAAAGTCGTTTCGCTTTCACAACGAAACACAGCGTCACACACGTCGGGCTTGAGTGAGTGGCGGCGGCGGCCTAGAGTGAGCAGAGGCCGGCTTGAGTGAGTGGATGCGGGCGGGCTTGAGAACGGCGCAGCCGGCGGATTCGACGAAGGAGCATCTGGCGGGCTTGCGGCAACCACATGTGACGACCC